GGATAAGTGGGAATGGATGGTCATATTCAGAGATTTGACTCTCCGACCAGTGTATTCTTTTCGACTGAGGGCGTCAGCTACTACATTGGCCTTGCCAGGATGATAACGAATCTCGCATTCGTAATCATTGAGTAACTCGACCCATCGTCGTTGTCGCATGTTGAGCTCCTTCTGATCGAAAATGTGTTGAAGGCTCTTGTGGTCGGTGTAAATATTACTCTTCGTTCCGTACAGGTAGTGTCTCCAGATCTTTAAAGCAAATACCACCGCTCCTAACTTGAGATCGTGTGTTGTATAGTTTACTTCGTGTGTCTTAAGCTGACGGGAGGCATAAGCAATAACCTTCCCTCGTTGCATAAGAACACAACCAAGCCCTTGATTCGATGCATCGCAATACACTACAAAATCTTCTATCCCTTCGGGGAGGGATAGTATTAGTGTGGTGCATAAGGCTTGCTTCAGAGTTTGGAACGCCTTCTCTTGTTTTACTTCCCAGTCAAAGACCACGCCTTTCTGGGTTAATGTAGTAAGAGGTTTCGTGATGCTAGAGAAGTTCTTTATGAATCTACGGTAGTAGCCAGGTAGGCCTAGAAATTGACGAATCTCTGTAGGTGTCTTTGGTGCCGACCAGTTCATAATGGCCTTAATTTTGGAGGGGTCCACGTGTATCCCTTTTTCGCTAACAACGTGGCCCAAAAATTCGACTCTTCGAATCCAAAATTCACATTTAGAGAACTTCGCATAGAGCTTCTCTGATCGTAGTGTTTCTAAGACCCTCCGTAGGTGTTGACTATGTTCTTCCTTACTTCGGGAGTAGATAAGTATATCATCGATGAATACAATGACGAATTGATCCAAGTAAGGACGGCACACTCTATTCATTAGGTCCATGAATATTGCTGGTGCGTTGGTTAACCCGAACGGCATCACTACAAATTCGTAGTGTCCATAACGGGTTCGGAAGGCTGTCTTGGGAACGTCTTCTTCTAGCACTCGTAATTGGTGATATCCGGATCGTAGATCTATCTTTGAGAAGTAGCTCGCTCCTTGAAGTTGATCAAATAAGTCGTCAATGCGGGGTAGAGGGTAACGATTCTTGACAGTGAGTTTGTTCAGCTCTCGGTAGTCGATGCACATCCGGAACGATCCATCTTTCTTCTTTACAAACAAGACCGGTGCTCCCCAAGGTGAGAAACTTGGTCTGATGAATCCTTTTTGGTGAAGTTCGTTAAGCTGACTGGAAAGTTCTTTCATCTCTGCTGGTGCCAGACGATAAAGCGATTTTGCTACAGGGGTAGCCCCTGGAATTAAGTCGATTTTGAACTCGACTTGGCGCTGTGGTGGTAATCCCGGTAGTTCTTCTGGGAAGATATTGGGGAAATCCCGTACCTCTGGGATGCTGTTTATATCCTTTACCTCCCGACTTGTATCGACGATGTGTGCAAGAAATGCCTGATAATCCTTTCGCAAACACTTTCGAGCTTGGATGCACGAAATGATGTGAAGGTTTGTACTTGATTTGTCGCCGTAGATCACTAATTTTCATGGTTAGGGAGATTTAGACGAACGGCTTTTTCAAAGCACATGATGTCGGCGCGAAGAGGACTTAACCAATACATGCCAACTATAACGTCGAAACTTTTTATTTGGACTGGCATAAGGTTGATTGGGAAAGAGTGACCGTCTAAAGTTAATGTACAACCCATGTATATGCAATTAGTGTTTTCCGTTTTCCCATTTGCCATTTCTATAGTGAATGATTCTTCTAACATGCTAGGGTTACGTTTAAGTAAGTGAATAAAGTTTTGGCTCACAAAGCTTCTCTCTGCTCCGCTATCGAATAGGATGCATGCATATGAATTATCGAGAAGAAACGTACCAGCAACTACTGTAGGATCAGTTACGGCTTCCTCGTGACCAATAGCTAATACTCGTCCCACTCCGCCGGTATTTGCTGCCTTTGGGTAGTTTCTTTTGTAGTGACCCACCTCGCCACAACCGTAGCATGCTTGGCCTACACCAGCACCAGGAACTTGAGTGATCGGTTTTGCGGGGGCCTTGCAGAAACGAATAGTGTGTCCCTTTCTGTTGCAATTGAAGCACTACATTTCCCGACATGGTCCGTGGTGGTGGTAATTTGACTTGGTGCACTTTGGGAGGTTACCCCACATAAGGCTTTGTTGGGTAGAGATTTGTAGGAACAGTAGTAGGTATCGTCGCAGCGTTTAGGGCAACTAGTTGTTGTTTCTTTGAGGATTCTTGGGAAGATCCACCCTTCCCCTTATTCCACCCTATCTTGTTGTTGTTGTTGTTGTTATTGTTGTTTCCCTTGTGTGATTCTGGTGTAGAAGTTGTTGAGTGTTGATGATTTCTGTAATCAATAAGCGATTGTGCCAGCTCGATGGCACTTTCAAAAGTGTCAGGTTTGGAAGCTAACACGCTTGACTGAATTTGGGGCCACAGTCCCCAAATGTATCGCTCTATTTTCTTTTCTCTCGGGAGCAATCATATCTGGGCAAAGGATTGCCAGCTCGCAGAATCTATTGGTATAAGTTACTATGTCAGTACCAATCATTCCCAGAGTCTAGATTTCATGCTCGAGTTTTTGAATCTCTCCTCGTGGACAGTACTCCCTCATCAACATGATTTTGAAGCTCTCCCAGCTTATCGAGTTTGCCACTATCAAGGTAAGTACCTTAACGTGGCCATTCCACCAAGTTAAAGCCCTATCAGTAAACGTGTAAGTTGCAAACTTAACTTTGCTGTGCTCGGGGCAGGAGCAGATTTCAAATATTGATTCCGTTCTTTCAATGCACTGCCTTAAAACCATCACACCACCCGTTCCATTAAACATCCGAGGCTTAGCATTCGTAAAGTCTTTATAAGTGCACTCCCGGGGTTGTCCATGACTATCGTCATGGTTGGAAGGATGTATGCCAATTCCTGAACCCGTAGTAACAGGGGTATTGATCTGTGACATGGCAGCTGCCACAGCTGCAGTGACTGCTGCCTGGAACATGACAGCATCAAATTGAGGAGGTGGAGGTGGTGGTGGTATCAGTGTTTCGTTGTTAGGGTTACGCCTGGGATTCCTATGTGGCGGCATCTTTAACTATACGTTTAAAAGATGAGGATAGGAATAAGAAAAAATGAATAATGAATGTGTCTCATGAACTAAATTGCTATAGTTTAACAACAGATGATAGTATGAGTCTCACAGATAGAAGAGCGAAGGTTATTCGTAAATCCGAATATATGAACAAGCGTATGGTTTTTCCATAATATTTTAAAGATTGAACGCGATACTCAACGTAGTAGTAACAGCGTGCGCATTATATTAATATAATAGATGATACAACGATCACGAAAATTTGACCCTTAAAAGGGTCTCCGATTACAAGAATTTAAAGGAAGTAAAAAAAAAAAAAAAAAAAAAAACACTTTTAGCCGAAGTCCTATCCTAATAACAAAATTTGAGGTTTTTGCAAGTGCTACTTGCGACGTGTGTTGCGCTTGGAGCTCGACTCCGCATCCGATTGCTTCGACTCCATAAGACGCCTATCGAAGGCGGCTTGTTGTTCCCTCAACTCTGCGAGGGCTGCATTCGTTTGTGCTTGGAATGCTTTGGCGCGGAGGTGGATGTCATTCTGCAACATATCCAGGCGGCAGATATCAACCGTGTGGACTTGTACTTCCATGTTGACCTCTCGGATTCGGTTTGCTTGAACCCCCGATTGGTAGGACCGGTTGGCCAGTTTACCTACCATCGCCGGAAGTGCTCGGTCCGCTGAACCTCCGTCCCTGATGTCGTAGAAGTCTCGACACATACCGTAGGGAGAGCGTATCCCTTGTTGTTGGCTCCAGTGGACGAGGTGACTTCCCCAAACGGGTGTCGGTCCTTGTAAGTTTCTCCTAATGGCTAGAGGGTTGATTATCTCTGGTTCCGAGTCTGTACCAGACTCGTCTCCTCCATCCAACTCGATAGGCTTATCGTCCTCTTCCGGATCCTCCTCAATCCATCCTCCGTTGCCTTTGTTTGGGTAGTAGGGGTCCCCATGCGGGTGAAATCCAGCCATTTGACTATACGAGAATAGGGTTATAAGTTTTGAACAAAACTTGAGACATGTAATACTAATTAATTTATTGTATGCACCAAATACTCCTATAGTATTTAAATTGTACGTTTGATACTAGTGTATAATTTTGGTAAGTTTTGACTTGTTGCTCACTACGATCATTCCTCGATATACGTTAGTCTAATTTCGGATAAACATAGTTGATCAAGCTATATTCGTCCTAAATTTGATTACATATCTCGAGAACTAATCGTAGTGTCCAACTTGTCTTAATACTTTTGTATAGTTCTTATCATAAAAATGTGTCGTTGTATGCATGTATTTTGGATTTCATAACC